TCATCTTTTCCCCCTAAATTCTTTTATCTTAGTGTATATTCTGTCATCTATTGCCTGAACCATTGCAACCTACCCACTGTCACAACTGCATGGTTTTTTCATTATCTATAGATTAGCTAGAGTGCTCTTCTTAAATAAATTAAACCCTTCCTAAATAAATAGGTTTTCTAGTTCAAATAGAATAAAATCCAAAATCTTTAACTAGTTAACAATGACATGCTTGATCTGACCTGCTATAGATCCTATATTTATTAAATACATGTTTGAAAAGCATTTACCATTTATTTATAATTCATCATTGTCTTTTGGAAGCAAAATATTATTTGTGTTCTTTTGTTCACAAAAATCCACCTAAATTGCTTATGATCAATTACATTCCCCTCACAGCTTACTTAACTTGATAATGTTAGCAACTTTTGCTAATAGAACATACTCATATATTCCTCTCATGTAAATATAGGTGCAAATAGGACATATCACCTAAAAATGCGGCTAGTAGTACCCACTAAATAAGGAAGTATGAATGAATGATTGTCAAGATGAATTCATGTTAAGCAGTCTTTTTTCTTACTGATTATATAGGAGGAGTGAGCTTTCTGTAGCAAAAACCATAATTGTTTAAGAGAGATTAATTAAATCAATTGCTCTAGGAAAGTAAAATTAGAAGTGCATTGACATTTATTCTGTTCCTACATGTGGTAGATAATATTTATTTGTTATCTGTCTTAAGTCTGGAAGTGTTAGTAAATACAGATACAAGGAAAACAAAGATAGCTAAACAGTAGTCTGAAATACAGCTGAATCTTTTGCTTAGTTCTAGTTCAGTGGGTCTCTCTGGAATGAAATTAAAAGCATCAGATCAGTGCTGTCTTACAGAAAAATAATGCAAGCTACATAGGCAACTTTAAATTCCTAGTAGCTACATTTAAAAAGTTAAAATAAAACAGATTAAATTCATTTTAATAATGTATTTAACTCAATGTATCTAAAATATCACTATTTTAATATATAATCAGTATAAACATTATTGAGGTATTTATTTTATTTTTTTTGTACTCAGTTTTAAACTCTACTCACATTTTATATTCAAGAAGCATCTCAGTTTGAACTATCCCATTTCAACTGCTTGGTAGCTATCTATGGCTAGTGGACACCACATTGGACAGCATAGGGCTCAGCAATAAACCAAAGGAGAAAGTAACTAAATAAGTTTGTTTTTCTGGGTGGTTTATGATGCGAACTGTAAACACTTCTCTGGGATTAGTTGCCTTCAATTTTTGAGATACCAATGCCAAGTAGTGTGCATTCAAACAGTTTGATATGAATTGTCCAAGATTCCAGCCAGCCAAGGTCAACCAGTGGATGCACTTGGTTGCACATGATTGAAACCTGGCGAGATTTCTCTTTGCCATCCAGACAAGTCTGCAATATGCTCCAGCCACATTGATCTTTAGTTCAGATGGCTGTATACTTGATTATTCAAACAGGGATACTTTTTAAAAAGAAAGGAAGTACTCTAAATAATTACCCTGAGACAACAGGTATAATATGAGACTCTCAGCTGACAAATCAGAATACATTGCCACCCAACTTTTAGTCAGCATTTCCACCTCTCAGAACTTGGGTTACTGTCAGTATGCATGTATTTCTTTTTTTTTTTTTTGGAAGAATGATTTTTTTTTCTTTTTTTTTTATTAATCATTGTTCATAAACAGTTTTCTCCTTTTTACTCCCAATCCAGTTCCCCCTCCCACCCTTCCCCCTTCCCTCCCATTACCACCCTCCCCTTAGTCTATGACCATGTGTCCTTTAAGTTTGTTCCTGTGAACCCTTCCCACTGTCCCCTTAAATTCCCTCTTCTCTCCCCTCCGGTCACCATCAGCCTGCCCTCTATTTCAGTGTCTTTGGTTACATTTTGCTTGTTTCTTTGTTTTGTTATTTAGGTTCCTGTTAAAGGTGAGATCATGTGGTATTTGTCTTTCACTGCCTGGCTTGTTTCACTTAGCATAATGTTTTCCAGCTCCATCCACGCTGTTGAAAAGGGTAGGAGCTCCTTCTTTCTTTCTGCTGCATAGAATTCCATCGTGTAAATGTACCATAGTTTTTTGATCCATTCATTTACTGATGGGCATCTTGGTTGCTTCCAGCATCTAGCTATTGTAAATTGTGCTGCTATGAACATTGGGATGCATAGGTTCTTTTGAATTGGTGTTTTAGTGTTCTTAGGATAGAGTCCCAGCAGTGGAATTGCAGGGTCAAAAGGCAGATCCATTTTTTAGTTTTCTGAGGAAGTTCCATATTGCTTTCCATAGTGGTTGTACCAGTCTGCAGTCCCACCAACAGTGCACTAGGGTCCCCTTTTCTCCACAACCTCTCCAATACTTGTTGTTTGTTGCTTTGTTTATGATGGCCATTCTGTCTGGTGTGAAGTGGTATCTCATTGTGGTTTTAATTTGCATCTCTCTGATAGCTAGCGATATTGAACATCGTTTCATGTGTCTTTGGATCCTCTGTATGTCCTCCTTGGAGAAGTGTCTGTTCAAGTCCTTTGCCCACTTTTTTAATTGGATTCCTTGTCTTCTTAGAGTACAGTCGTGTAAGTTCTCTATATATTTTGGAGATTAGACCCTTGTCTGAGGTGTCATTGGCAAATATGTTTTCCCATACAGTTGGTTCTCTTTTAATTTTCATACTGTTTTCTTTAGCTGTGCAGAAGCTTTTAATTTTGATGAGGTCCCATTTGTTTATTCTTTCCTTTATGTCCCTTGCTCTAGGGGACACGTCAGTAAAAAAGTTTCTTCGTGAAATATCTGAGATTTTCCTACCTACGTTCTCCTCTAGGACCTTAATGGTGTCATGTTTTATATTTAAGTCTTTTGTCCACCTTGAATTTATTTTTGTATATGGTGTAAGTTGGTGCTCAAGTTTCATTTTTTTGCACGTGGCTGTCCAGTTCTCCCAACACCATTTGTTGAAGAGGCTATTTTTATTCCATTTTATGTTGCTGCCTCCTTTGTCAAATATTAATTGACCATAGAGACTTGGGCTGATTTCGGGGCTCTCTGTTCTGTTCCATTGGTCTATGTGCCTGTTTTTATGCCAGTACCAGGCTGTTTTGATTACAGTGGCCTTGTAATATAGTTTAGTGTCGGGTATTGTGATCCCTCCTACTTTACTCTTCTTTCTCAATATTGCAGCAGCTATTCGGGGTCGTTTATAATTCCATATAAATTTTTGAAGTGTTTGTTCTCTGTCTGTGAAATATGCCATTGGTACTTTAATAGGAATTGCATTGAATGTGTAAATTGCTTTGGGTAGTATGGACATTTTGATGATATTAATTCTTCCAATCCATGAACATGGTATATGTTTCCATTTGTTTGTGTCTTCCTTGATTTCTTTCTTCAGTGTTGTGTAGTTTTCTGAATACAGGTCTTTTACCTCTTTGGTTAGGTTTATTCCTAGATATTTTATTTTTCTTTTGCTATTTCAAATGGGATTTTTTTCCTTGATCTCTGCTTCTGCTGTTTCATTGTTGGTGTACAGAAATGCCTTTGATTTCTGGATATTGACTTTGTATCCCGCTGTTTTGCCAAATTCATTTATTAGGTCAAGCAGTTTTTTGGTAGAGTCAATAGGATTTTCTATGTATACTATCATGTCATCTGCAAACAGTGATAGTTTTGTTTCCTCCTTCCGATTTGGATGCCTTTTAATTCTTTTTCTTGTCTGACTGCTGTGGCTAAAACTTCCAATACTATATTGAATAGAAGTGGGGAAAGTGGACAGCCTTGTCTTGTTCCTGATCTTAATGGAAAAGGTTTTAATTTTTGCCCATTGAGAATGATGTTGGCTGAAGGTCTCTCATATATGGCCTTTATTATGTTGAGGAATGCTCCCTCTATTCCCACTTTGCCGAGTGTTTTTATCATGAATGGGTGCTGTACCTTATCAAATGCTTTTTCTGCATCAATTGATATGATCATGTGGTTTTTGTCTTTGCTTTTGTTTATGTGATGTATTACATTTACTGACTTGCGAATATTGAACTATCCTTGCATCCCTGGAATGAATCCCACTTGGTCATGGTGTATAATCTTTTTAATGTATTGTTGGATGCGGTTTGCCAGTATTTTGTTGAGGATTTTAGCGTCAATGTTCATCAGTGATATTGGCCTGAAGTTTTCTTTCTTTGTTGTGTCTTTATTTGGTTTTGGAATTAGGATGATGTTGGCCTCATAAAAAGAGTTTGGGAGATTCCCATCTTTTTGGATTTTTTTGGAATAGTCTGTGAAGGATAGGGGTTAGCTCTTCCTTAAATGCTTTGTAGAATTCTCCTGTGAAACCATCTGGTCCCGGGCTTTTGTGTGTTGGGAGTTTTTTGATTACTGCTTCAATTTCTTTTGTTGTTATTGGTCTGTTCAGACTTTCTGCTTCTTTTTCATTGAGTTTTGGAAGATTATATTTTTTCTAGAAAGTTGTCCATTTCATCTAGGTTTTCAAATTTTTTGGCATACAGTTCTTTCGTAGTAATTTCTTACAATCCTTTGTATTTCTGTGGTATCTGTTGTAATCTCTCCTCTTTCATTTCTGATTGTGTTTATTTGGGTCTTCTCTCTTTTTTTCTTAATGAGTCATGTATTTCTTTAGGTTCTATGTAACTCCATAAAGATGAGCCAGTTCCCACAGGAGCCCTGCACTCAAAGCCTTAATTCCTTCTATAGAACTCTAGTTGTCATCCCGAGCCAGTGTCATAAAGGGTCTTTCACTCCCATGTATAATAACATTGCTCTGTGCATTTTGCAAGCTTCCTGTTTTGCCACATGGATCTTGCTTAAATTGGGGGCTTAATGACAAATGGCTGTTGTCAGCTAAATGGAACTTCCTCTTTGCAGGGTTTCCCAAGGAGAGTAGAGGACTAGTAAACAAAACTGTACATGCGGATGGCCAGGAAATCTCTCTTCTCTTTTTCTATCTTTCCCTACTATAGGGATATATATAAAGAATTAGAGAACTCAGTTGTGACAGCTCAGGGAAATGTTTCATGGGAAGTAACAGATGGTTCAAAGCCACCCTAATTTCTGAGTGAGATGGAGAAAGCCCATGAGCCTGGAAAATTGAAGGTATGGAAACTAAGTTTTCTTGACTCTTTAATCTGTTTCAGACATAGCATCCAAAATAGAAGAATAAAGTATTTCACTTTTTGCTGCTGAGTACATTGAGCTCAGAAAGGTAAAAGACACAGAAGTAGGATGACTGCAATAGGACAACAGGAGACTGGACAGGAGGAACTTACCCCTATTAGCTCCAGGGTAGTTGGATAAAATTCCAAAATCAGGATTTTGTTGGTATTGTTGTTGTTTATGTTAAGGCTGAAATATTTTACAAAATTGGGAGACAATGGGCTACATATGAGGTTGCATTTAATGTAGAAACTACATGTCAGAATACTCAGAGCAAAAATACATACAGTAAGATTTAGAGGTTAGTGTGAGTATTACAATGAAGGTAATGAAAAGTGCACAGGACTGGAGCCCATTCATTGATTCATCAAACATTTATTGAGTACTTACTATGTGGTAATGTTCTGCTTTAGGTTCTTGAATCAGCTGTGAACAAAGTGGAGAAGGATTCTGTCTTCTACATTACAACAGCAAGAAATTGACAACAGAAAAGTAAGCAAAAATAAGATAATTTCAGATGTGTAAAGGCATGAGAAATAATCTTAAAAGGGTCTTGCAAGAAGTATAAATAGGATAAAATGGGGGTACTTTAAATTGTGTGGTCAGGGAAGGCTTCTCCAAGGAGATAGTACTTAAGATGACCCAAGTGCTCTTTTCCCTTAGTTGTTCTCTACTGCCTTCAAATTGCTACATTTTAGTGTTTGTCCAGCTTTCCTTAATGTTCTCAGAAAGAGAGTTGATTTGATATAAGATATTCTAATTTTTAAATGTAGATAAATTACATTTTTAAATTTATTTTACTTCTAAATATCATTTTGGTGAAAATTTTATTTAAATATCCAATAATCATTACATTTCTGCCAAGCATAATAGCACCTTGAACTTAGAACACCTATTACTTGACAACCACATTTTTAATTGATGACTACACTGTAGTCATGCTGTAAACCAAGTGATAGAGGGAAAGAAATAAACCATAAGCTCATATTACCAGAAGATGCAGTTGAAACTAAAGGGAAATGTAGTGGAAAACAATTTCTGCAATGTCAGTGTAGGTGTGTGTGAGAGAAAAAGAACCACTAATAGCCCATTTGTTTTTTAGAATATCTTTTTGATTCTAAAAATATGACCATTTATCAGGTAACACTACAATATTTCAGTGTAACTTGGCAAGAGATGTTAATTGATAGGTGAGGAATATTAGTCATTTTGTGTCTGTTGAAGTTTTAAAAATAAGATGGCAGAGCTGAGTAGCCTCTTTTCCTCAGCTTTTAAAAAATCACTGGTGCATTCATTATTTTGAGATAGTACAACAGGAAGCATTGGTGGAAAAGAGCTATTATGTGCCAATTCTATAATAAGAGCAGTTATGTGAAATGAGTGAATGAAGGAAGAAACGAGCAAACGCAACCTTTAGATCCTTTACTTGGATTCTCAACCTCCAACAAACCACTAACCTGTCCTCCCACCACAAAAATGTTAAACTGTCAGAGATTTCGTCAAACAGATAATACCAGTGACTGTATGGAAGAGATCCAAAGGGAAGTGAGGGAATGAGAAGGAATCTTGGAGTCATAGTAGTTCAAGTTTCCATGTTTTGTCACTTCTTAACCAAATAGTCTTAGTCATGTTTCCTGAGTCTCTGCTTTTTTATTTGTAAAATGAGAACAAATACCTACCTTATAATGCTGTTGCACAGGTTAGAAATTTTCTAGAAAAATGGCACATATAAATAGCAGATATATAAATAATTGCCAATTTTGTTATCTCTTTCTTAAAACCTCCAGGGTAATAATGTGTATCTAGTTAATTACTGTTATGTAATCATTTATATGGAAGACAATTTGCCTTAGAGATATTTGCAAAATGAACTTTCAATTTTTATATTAGAAGAGTCATGTGAAATCAGCAAAGAGTGAGATAATGATTTAATTAAAAGAATTCATAATAATCATCCCAGAAGCTATCAGTAATTTCTCATGGGAAAATGAAACAAGTAAACACTATAAGGTTGAGAAAAAAGTAAATCAATGTGTAGCCATTGAAATTATTATTTGTTTTCCATTTATCATTTGAATTCAGTGAAATCTTGAAATAGGCTTAGTTCTTTGTCATGAGTGTTAGCAACGCAAAATTCATTTGTGCCACAAAGACCTTGACACTGATCAGTGTGCTCTTTCTGGTACCACAACTTTATCAATTGTTCATAAATAAAAACCTCTACTTTATCACTTCACCACCACTGTCCTTCACTTCCTTCATGTCCTCAGCTTACTGCCTTACTGGGTTTAGAATCCACAGTCCATAATTATAATCACTCTGTGTCCCACTCAATTTCCTTGCCACTTCCTCTTCCATTATGAAGGTGTGGCAAAACACCAAGCTTTTCAATGTTGCCCAATTTCCCTTTATAAAAAAAATTCTAGTAATCTATCCTTATTCTACCTACCCCCTCTCCATTCATTCTCTCTTAAACCCACTCCACCCAAGCTATTGGGCACACTACTCCTCTTAAATTGTTCTTATCAAAGGCACCAAATCCACTGAACTCCACATCAGCAATATTTGGTGCAAGTGATAATAACCTATTTTTTAAAAAAACCTGGTTACAGAAATACATAATTGCCTAGTTTGTCTCAGACTTCATGGGCTGCTACTCCTTGGTGTTGTCTGATGGGTCCTTTCTTATTTTTCTTGATTTCTCAATGTTGCAGTACATTGGTACAAATCCTCAAACTCCTATTTATCCATATTCACTCCCTTGATGATCAATACAGACTATGGTATGGCTTTAAATGGCATCCACATATTTCATCAAGTCTAAGATTCTATGATAGGCTAATTAATGGCCTTCAAAGATATCTGAGTCCTAATCCTTGGAATCTATAATGGTATCTTATATGGCAAAGAGGACTTTGCAAATGTGATTAAATTTAGGATATTCTAATGGAAAGGTTGTCCAAGATATTCAGGTTAGCCCTAAAAGTAATTACAAGTGTTTTTATAAGAGGGATGCAAAGGGAGATTTGGTTATAAAGATGACTAAGTATCAATGTGATAACTTTTGGCAATGCGATGACTAAAACAAGATGCTCTTCTGAAGGTGATGGAAAGGACTACAAGCCAAGGAATTCAAAGATTATAGGTCTAAGAGCTGGAAAAAACAAGGAAATGAATTCTCCCTTAGGGCCTCTGTAGGAACATGGCTTTGGTTTCAACCCAGTGAAACTATTTAGACTTTCTGACCTCCACTACTCTAAAAGTTTAAATGTGTGTTATTTGAAGCTATAAAGTGTAATTTATTATAGCAGCCATAGGAAGTTGATATAGATATACTTTCTTCTTTACATGTGGACATCTCTGAAATCAAGATGAATCTAATAATTATGGCATTTTAGAATTGCTGTTAGCCAGATGGAAATTGTGATGCAGTTAGAATAGTTTAGTAATGTTAAAAGTACATTCACATTGTACAACTAATCTCCAGACCTCTTTACATGTGGCAAACATAAAACTGTAGATCTATTTAACAAGGACCATTGCCACCTCTACTCATCCCCTGACAACTCACCTTTCTACTTTCTGTCTCAGTGGATTTGTCTACTCTAAATACCTCACAGAAGTAGAATCACACTGTTTTTGTTTTTTTCATGACTGGCTGATTTCACTTAGCATAGTATCATCAAAGTTTATTCATGTTGTAGCACATGTCAAAATTTTCTTCCTTTTTAAGGCTGAATGATATTCCACTATATATATACCACCTTTTATTTATCTATTTGTCTGTCAATGGACATTTGAGTTGCTACTCCTATGGCTTTTCATCATGCTTGAAATAAAATCTGAAGTCGTTACAATGGCTTACATGGTGCTATATGATCTGACCCCTAGCCATCACTTTGACCTTTTTGCCTATTATGATATTCCTCACCATACCCCAGCCATACCAGCCTCTGTCACACTTGTGCTGCTTCTTTTTTTGCCAGCACTCCTCTCTAAGTGGTTCATATTTTTCTTCCCTCACTCCCCTCAGGAGTCCCCTTAAATGTTCCTTTCTGAGACAGCACTTCCCTAACTACCTCATCTAAAATAGCACTGCTATACCTCCCCTGCCATTGCATTATACCAACTCATTTTCCTCCATAGCATATACTTCTAAATGTTATTTTCATTTTCGTAAATTAATTTATTATCTATCTCTCAATGAGAATAAAACTCCAAAAAGGCAGGGATTTTTAAACAGCATGTAGTATAATTTTAATAAATGCCCTATAATATTGAATGAAGCAAAGGAGATCAAATCCAGCAAAGAACTTTGGAATATTTTAATTTTTTTAATTAAAAAACTTTTTTACTTAGAGCAGTTTCAGGCTTATAGAAGAAAAATGCAGAAAATACAGAGTTCCCACATACTCCTTTCCTCTCTCCAATTCCCCCTATTTTTAAAAATTTGCATTAGTGTGGTATATTTGTTAAAATTTCTGAACCAATATTAATGATACATAGAGATCTGATCAGATCACTGGGGAGAAGTCAGGAGGGATCATAGGAGGAGTACACTGAGGCAATGGTAAACAGTCTAGTGTAGGATTGGCTGAGAAGCTGAAAGCCTCCAGAGCACATGGAATTATGGGCAAGAAGATTTGAAATAAAAGAAGTGTTTTTGAGTTCCTGGAGGGGCTGGATCTGGGGCTCTCTCTGGCACTCTTTTCTTTCTCAAGGATGCCTGGATGATAGTGTTGCAGGTGCCCGCACTTCCCAATGGGGTATTTTGGATGGGAAGGAACTCTGGGCACAGCCTAGGATTGGCCCGGCCTGGCAGAGGGTTGACAGGGTTATTCTTGTTTGGGTGTTCTAGAGGGAAGGCTGCCATTCTTCCAAAATTGTGTAGCTTCTGTATCTTATGTTGTTTTAGTTTGTAAACCCTATAGAAATAAAATTATTAAGACTAACAGAGGGAGTGATGAAACAGTTTAGCCTTAATCTATAGGTTTAAGTAACTAATAGGTATGAAAAGGTGTTATTCCAAAATTGTGAAGCTTTTGAGTAAAGACTCTGTTCCTTTATCAGCAAACCTTTGCCTCTAGAATTTTGCTTAGAGGGTGTCAGTGGGCAGCGGGACCCCAGTTGCTGTTCAGTAACATTAACACTGTTGATTTAAGAAATGTCCAAACCCATAGAGACTTCCTATTAGAGGATATTTGAGCCAGAACTGGTGACTTATGTTGGGATCAAAATCTCAAATGTTCTAGAGAACAGTTTTGCAGTTTTGTTTATACATTTGGGGTTAAGAGGGAAACATAAGGAAGACTACATGGAGGTGGTTGAAAACAATGTAGGTGAGGACTAGATTACAGGATCTTTAACAAGATTATGTGCTCTCATGAGGGTAGCTTCCCAAGGCTCTGAAATGGTATTTCAAAGGTGTATTAAACTAAAAGCCCAAAAGGAATGGATATGGCTTACTTAAGGCAAAGATAAACCTTTTACTA